GTGTGTGTGTGTGTGTGTGTGTGTGTGTGTGTGTGTGTGTGTGTAAAAGAGTGAGAGAAAAAGCTCAAACAATAGATAGAAAGATAAAACATAAAGCTGCAATAAACATAAAAGGCAGGAAATTAAAGCCGGTGACTTTAATTCAGGTCTTTGTGTGTGTTTCTGGGGACTCATTTTGAGGGATGTTCTTGCTGTCCTCAGATCAGCAAAGTGCGTTTTGTTTAGTCCCTGTTTTTTAAATTCCCTTTAACATCTTGTCTTTGCCAATATTTGCGCATTGCTGCTCCTTCTTGTGTGTTTCTATGAGTTATGACAAGCCGATTACAGGGAGGTGAAATTGCTGCTTTCTTGTATCTTTAAATATAACATCAAGCAACACAAGTGTGCGTGCACGTGTGTGTGTGTGTGCACGTTGTGAGCTTCTGCTTCATATTGCAGAGGGATTTTAATGTTGGCAGGGAAATTGGAAGGAAAAAAAATGTTTGATTGGCTGCCAGTGTCGACATGTTGTGCTCAGATCCAATTACCTAGAGATGTATTGCTCTCAGTGATTCAGGCACATGTACACACACACACACACCCTGCCCCACCCCCTCATACACACTCGTAGCGTGCCATTCTAATAAGATGGAGATGTTCTGTAGTGGCTTTGTGCTTCTAAAAAAATGCTCATTATGTTTCTGCACCTGAGCGTGTGTTTTGCGTCAAAGAGCCTTTAGAAGTGCATCATTTGCCTGTGGTTTGAATTGTAAAGTATGCAATATGTGTGTGTGTGTGTGTGTGTGTGTGTGTGTGTGTGTGTGTGTGTGTGTGTGTGTGTGTGTGTGTGTGTGTGTGTGTTGCTCATGCAAGTATATGTTTGTGTGGAGCACTTCAGCGCATTTGTCAACACTGCTCCATCTTTCAAGCTGGAAACCTGCTCTTGTATAGTGATTTTTTCTTTATTTCATGGGTGTAAATTGTAATTTGTTTCATTCAGCTGTGTTTGTGTGTGTGTCCCTTTGTGTTCCTGCGTGTCGCAGCCCACATGCAGTCCCTCCGTCCGGACTAGGCTGACGTATTCCAGGTTGCATTTTGCTGAAAGTCTCGTCTAGCTGCATTCTTCTCTCACGCCCGCCTGTTTGTGTGAATGGTTGAATGCTGGAGGCCCATCGCTGAAGCGTCACCGAACCGTAACTTGTTCTTGTGACTTGGCTGCTGGCGAGCGGCGCAGCTCTGCCACCAAGCCGCTACCTGGGGTGGGAGAAATGGCATTTGCTTTGTTTTCAAATGAGTGTGTCAAGGACAAGAATGTTATCAGTCAGTTTTAATCTGTAGGGTTTTAGCATTGTGCCTTGTGGGATGAAAAACAAGAGATTGGGAGTTAAAGGAGACACATCATGCTTTTAAAATCCTTCTTTTTCACAATTAAATCCCTCAGTTAGGGTCTATTTAAAGTGGAACTGCAATGCTTTGGTCTAAATTCCTCCTTATTGTAGCTCCACAAGCCCCTCTTTCACCCCTTTTTCTGAGGTGTGTCTCAGATCAACTCATTTTGATGCTGTGTCTTTAAATCCAAATAATGCTGTCCTCGTGTCACCCTCTTCAAACTTCCAGAGTTGTCCATTCTAGTTTAATAGAGGGGTTTACGACAATATAACAGAAACCTTTTATTGTATAAATATATATGAGATACTGTATATGAGAATGAAGACAACCAAATTGTAGTTCGTAAGTCCAGACCTTATTTGGCAGTTTCGTTGCAAAAACTGTGACATAATAGTTCAGAAAACATCATAAAGATTAGAGAAAACTGAACGGGTTGAAAACTGTGACCCAAACAGAATATAAAGTTATCTTTGCAGCACCAGGAGAGACTAAGTTCAACTTTTCTGCACTCCTAGAGACTCCCAGTATGCAACAAAATGTATTTAACATCTAAAAATGTGGGTTTTGCATGATATGTCCCCTTAAATGTCACAATAAGGTTGTCACTGTGCAATTAAAAGACTGGTAACAAAGCTGAAATATCTTAAAGCAGGTTTTCTTTGATCAGTAATGAAATCAATTTTTTTTGCACAACTGTGGACTACTGGTATTCCTGACAATGATCCTGTAAGTTTGACACATTTTTCTTTCAAAAGTTTCTCCAATGCTTCTTGGCAGAAACATTGAAGTTAAACCAGAGAGGAACAAGAGTGTCACTGCACAGTCGCGCTGCCTATTCCAGCTGTCAGGATTCGAAGGAAGAAACTGGAGTACCTGCAGAAAACACACATGTGTGCACAGGAGAAAAAAATATATATATGACACGTGAACAGCCAAGAGTCGAATCAGAGCAAACACTAATAATTAAACTCTGTTAAATCTGGTTTGTCTGAAGGTTTTAGACTGAGAAAATGAGAAAGTTTTATGTCAAGTTCATTTTATTATGATCTAATTTGACTCAATTTAAATCAGTCTGTGTCCAGTTTTATTCAGTGTAATTAAGTTCTGTATATTTTAAGCCAGTTTGTAAAAGAAAACCTTGTTTTGATCTGATTTGATCGTTCTGCTCATTTTGATTTAAAAAAAACCCTCAAATTAATGCTGCCACCAGGCAAGGTTAATGTCTCTTTTTACTGACAAGATTTGGAAAAACTATGGTTGAATATTACACCCACATGAACTCCCATGCACCCTCAGCAGGGTCCTGGAGGGTGCATGGGAGTTCGCCCAACTGGTCTACATGTGTTTTGTGGACTTGGAGAAGGCGTTCGACCGTGTCCCAAGGGGTCCTTGTGGGGGGTTCTCTGGGAGTATGGGGTACCGGGCCACTTGATATGGGCTGTCAGGTCCTTGTACGACCGGTGTCAGAGTCTGGTTCGCATTGCCGGCATTAAGTCGGGTTCGTTTCCGGTGAGAGTTGGACTCCGCCAAGGCTGCCCTTTGTCACCGATTCTGTTCATTACTTTCATGGACAGAATTTCTAGGCGCAGCCGAGGTGTTGAGGGGATCCGTTTTGGTGGTCTYAGGATCGCATCTCTGCTTTTTGCGGATGATGTGGTCCTGTTGGCTTCATCGGAACGAGATCTGCAGCTCTCGCTGGAGCGGTTCACGGCCGAGTGTGAAGCGGCCGGGATGAGACTCAGTGCCTCCAAATCCGAGGCCATGGTCTTGAGCTGGAAAAGGGCAGAGTGCCTTCTCCGGGTCGGGGGGGTCGTCCTGCCTCAAGTGGAGGAGTTTAAGTATCTGGGGATCTTGTTCACGAATGGGGGAAGAAGGAAGCGGGAGATCGACAGGCAGATTGGTGCAGCGTCTGCTGTAAAGTGGGCGCTGTACCGGTCCGTCGTGGTGAAGAGAGAGCTGAGTCAGAAAGCGAAGCTCTCGATTTACCGGTTGATCTACGTTCCTAGCCTCATCTATGGTCATGAGCTTTGGGTCATGACCGAAAGAACGAGGTCCCAGATACAAGCGGCCGAAATGGGTTTCCTCCGCAGGGTGGCTGGGCTCTCCCTTAGAGATAGGGTGAGAAGCTCGGTCATCCGGGAGGGACTCAGAGTAGAGCCGCTGCTCCTCCACGTCGAGAGGAGCCAGTTGAGGTGGCTCGGGCATCTGGTAAGGATGCCTCCTGGACGCCTCCCTGGTGAGGTACTCCGGGCACGTCCCACGGGAGGAGGCCCCGAGGAAGACCCAGGACACGCTGGAGGGACTATGTCTCTCGGCTGGCCTGGGAACGCCTTGGAGTTCCCCCGGAGGAGCTGGAAGAAGTGGCTGGGGAGAGGGAGGTCTGGGCCTCCCTTCTGAAGCTGCTGCCCCCGCGACCCGACCCCGGATAGGCGGAAGAAAATGGATGGATGGATGGATGGATGGTTGAATATTAGTGGTCTTGTGCCATTTTCACACATGGAGACTGTTTTTGTGTTTTTGGTTTGAGTGGTCCAAACTTTAGCAGCAGAGGACTGAGTGACAAAGTTGTTCTCTTAGTGAAAGAGGAACGTCTGCTGTAGGTTAGAGAACAGGACGTTACGCAGGTTACAGGCATCTTCTGCATTGATGTACATACAATACTTCCTATATTTGAATGTTTTTGTAAATAAAGGTAACATGACATATTAGCATAAAAAAAGGATTATATGCACTTATAGATTCACGGACCACCTCAATAATATGTTTTAATGGTCTGAATGCCAGGTTTGTTTAAATTTTTTTTTTTCAAAATCATGAAAGATTGAAGTGAAAATGTTAAAAGGCTTAAAATCTTTGATAATGTGGGTGGTGAAGAGTTAATCCAGTTATAGTACTTGATACACAAAATTCTAAAAACTGATGAATCATTAAATAAAGCAGGTTTTATATCAATATGAAGTTGTAAAATAAAGTCAAGATGTTTGCGTAAAGTAAGGAGATTAATGTATTTTTATTCCTTCACACGGCTAAAATTTCTAATAAATTACTTTTTTCATCACTGTTCTGCAAAGACGTCACATTTGGTTCTTACTTAGCCATTGTGTACAAATAACAAGCAAAGCAAAAATAAAGACGTGCTGA